GTGTTTTTTTATGGACCCCGGGGGGCCCCCTTTCGAGCCTCACGCGATTAATGGACAACCCCTTACACAGTGTAAATGTCAAAAAAGTTAAGGAGCAGACCGGCTGAGGGTGAGCGGCAAAAATATAACTCGCTGCGTTGCCCACCACGATTCCCCTACCCCGTGGAGCCCTGGAACGTTACTCGCCGGACAGAAACACAACACCAAAAGGCAATGTTATTTTACTGTAGTCTTCTGTAAGGTGGAGATTACTTGCCCAAACTGGCGCTCCAATTAGAGCGGAAAGCCCGCTATGCCCTACCTCTCTTTTTATAATGATATAATAAATAATAAATATTTTATAAGACTCACACCAATTAGCCTAGCCCCAAAATAAGCACTATAAGGCTTGTGTTATGGGATACTAGGGTAACGGATAGAATACATATACTGTACATATAAAAGTATATTTATATAGAAATACATATGTTAAACATCCATGACTGGAGTACAAATGCTCGTATGGGGCCGGACAAGTATTACGTAAGCACTATAGAGGGACAGGGGGGTTGTTGATTTGCTTATTTTTGATGACATGGGGGGGTGGGGGGGTGGAAATAGTGATTACGTCAGCATCATGGATTCTGGTGCCATGGACTGCAGACTGTTAATTTGAATTAATATGTATACCAAAAATTTGAAAGAAGTTTGTTTTGTTCGTTTATGTTGAATACTGTGTCAATAAAGTTTGTTCAAATAAATTTTTATTTATTTATTTATATCAAATACTTATATCTATCATTACAGGTATTTACCCAATAGTTGCAAATATTATGTGCGCGAAAGTCCTCTATCCTAAGCCTATGTAAATTCTACCTCACCTTATATTAGTTATATAATAATTAAAAATAATAAAACTTACAAAAGGAATAAACCATTTGAACATTATGTTCTAAAACCAAATCAAATAGCGCGCGCTTTCGCGACTTCCTGCCCGTGTTCGCGACGCGAACCTGTTACACACTTCCGTCCCATTTCACGAAATCACTCCCACAAATTGCAGGAAAGCGAGAGGAAAGATTTTACACATCAAAAACACAGAACACATTAAAGGGAAAATGCATATGGTTACATAAGCATGGGGGGAGGGGGGTAAGAGCTTTGCTTACTTTTGCTGACAAGGGGGAGGAGGGGGTAAATAATTGTAATAAATCTGCTTACGTAATACTTGAACGGCCCCTATTCATCACACAAACATCTGCCCCCCACCGGGATTCGAACCCGGGACCTCGCGAGTCGGCGACACCATGAAACCCGGTGTTCAAACCACTCGGCCATGGAGATCGTCAAAGATATGTAAGTAAAACAGGGGGTCTACTCTCTTTCTCCGAAACGAACTTGAAAACGAAATTTAATTTCGTCAATTTGATGTTATAAGTACTTAATTTGAACGATATACTATCAAATTACACATTATATTATACATTAACACAATATAACATCTTTAAAATGCCGACGGGATCTAACAGATATAAATTGTTTATACAAAATCTTAAATGATAAGATAGATGCTCCATCTTTATTAGAGAAAATAATTATATTTCCGTGTACCCAGAAGGCAAGAGAGAACGAATCGTACAAAAGCATTAATTTTTATTAAGCCAAGTAAAACTCATTACGGTAGCAATATTTTTATAATAAAAAGAGCTTGCGCACTTGTCAATGAGTTTTTTACTAATATTGATATTTTTGAGACATCCAAACATAAGTTTAGGAGGAATATTGCTGAACTCATATAAGGCTGAAGTTTGTAAGATAAGTAAGTAATACTTAATGGACATTTGCTTGAACAATGCCTTGCTGCTTATTATATATATTTTGTTATGTACTTTAATTTCTTATGTGTGAGTTGCTTTGAGCTTAAATGTATATTTTGCCACCTATTTATATTGCTGACCAATGTAACTGGATCAATTTATATTTGAATTAGTTTAGGAAACTATAGGTCTACTAACGAATGATATCTCTGTATCAATTATTAACATGTGTGACTGTTTGTTTCTTATAAAAAAAATGAAAGTTTCTTTGAGTGGGTTTAGAAAATCTACACCTCAATGTACATAAATTCCGACGATGAATATTAATATAATTAAAAAGGAACAAGAAACATAGTAAGAAAAGTGCGAAGTTTCGATCGAAATTTCGCTTTTTGTTGAATTAGAGTAGGCCTCCGGGCCTACGTGCCATTCGCAACTCGATACTATGTAATATATATCTCCTGAGAGTAGCACAATTTACATATTATGTTAAGGACGGTTAACACTAGCTGTTTATGTGCGTGCATGCATCCTAATTTACGTAATTACGCACTGTGTGTGTGTGTGTGTGGGTCAAGGTTCGATGACTAACAGTTAAAGTAAGGTCGCTTAGTTCAAATTTATTATAAAACGAACTTAATTAAATTAAAAAAAATCGACAAAACAAAACCACTAAAAATTTTAAAAATAATAAACGATGGGGCACTGGGTGGACAGAATAGAGATATTGGGTCATGACCAGATTCACCACGTGCCTTCCAAATCAAGGAGGTGCTCGATATAGTAAAATATTTGGTCACCCATCCAATGACCGACCACTGCAAAAGTTGCTTTACTTCAACGATCGCAGCCAAATGCGCTAACCACTTGTGCCATCGACCTCCTCCTAATTCTAAACAATGAAGTTCCTTAAATTTTCGTATACCTACATATTTTTATTGGCATGTTTAATTTATATCGTTCAATAACATCGCGTGCATTGATAATATCATATCAATACATACTGTTAGTATTTTGATACCTATATGTTTAATCACATTACGATTACATGAACTAGCGTGTGGATTTAAATTTATTTTGGTATATTTATTCAGCAACTGATTGTATAAGCAGCACACATATGAATAAACTCCCACGATGAAACACAGAGAGAAATATCGAACCGAGTTTGTTTGACAAATCTCTTTATTTATATTTACTTGATGTTCACAATTTGTAATCGAGTGTCGAGAGCTCATGAAATTACAATTCGCCCCCAAGGCTCTACACAACGCCCTAACTTTTTTCTGGGTCTCCTACATTTTACGGGGGCATTATCTCCCGCTTTGAGAAAATCTGTTATAGTGTGTCAACTTTGAAAGATAGACATATGCTGTAGTGGACTTTTTCACAGAACTATTAAAGGGGAACAATTCTGTCATACTTGATTTTTGTGTAACTTTTACGCAACGGAAGCTCACCAATGGATTTTTTCCCCGTTTTTGCAACATTTTTCATTAGTGCTCCGCTAATATTAGTTGTAGTGTTATGATATATAGCCTTCCTCGATAAATGCACTATCTTTCCAACACAAAAATATTTTTTCTAAACGGAACAGTAGTTTCCGATATTAGCGCGTTCAACCAAACAAACAACTTCAGCTTGATAATATTAGTATAGACTTAAAGAAATTTCGACTTATCGGTAATGTCATTCTGTTAGTCAGTGATTCCGTATAATGAGAACTTTTGATTACTTAATCGGAAATTCTGTAGAACTAAAGAAAACTCTGTAGTAATATCCGGTAAACTTTTTAGCGGACCGATACCATTTAAAACTCTAATATATAAGTCTAATTTTAGAGAATGCAACAAACTTATAATATGTTTCGAGAGATTTGGAAAGGAAATCTCATTCCTTTTGCGAAAGAATTGGCTTACGTCACATTAACACTTGCATTAACTTTGAAAGGGATCATGGAATGGTGCCTTCACTGTTTCACACGCTTGGCGAATAGACGGCAAACAGCTTTTGGGTGATTGTGATCGGCCTTTGACACTTTGTTTGACGTGTTTGGCGTTAGTAACAAAACAACAAGCGTGTGGAGCCGCCATAACATGCTCGCCAAGCGTGAGGAGGCCTCTTTATATTGTGTGATTATTTATGGTCGGGGTTTGGCATTTTGTTTGACGTGTTTAGCGTTTGTTACAAACACCAAGCGTGTGGAGGCACCAGAAAGCGTTATAAAACTTAACCATCAGCATGGGCATTCTGTAAGATGCAATCTCACTCACGATCCCATTTGTTCGAATTTTTGATAAATGTCAAATATTTAATACTAATAATGGTGTAATGAATAGCAAACTAATCTCTTAAACGGCTACCGAAATCGGAAATGAGATTTTATTTTACCTAAGCCCTACTGGTTAGATTATGATCTGTGATAGCCTGTGCTACAACTATCGCTATTTGCCAAAGTAGTTGATCTATAAAATAGCATCAATTCTTAACTACTCGTATTATGGTTGCCCTCCAGACAAGGTCGAATACCCTAGGGCTTAAAGGGGCCATGGCCCGGCACTGCCAGAGCTGTTAGGGGCGGCAGAAGCCATACAAAAGGCATTCGTTACCAAACTGTATTTTGAGTGCAAATCGTTAATGGCCCGGGGCGATTTCAATGGAAATCTGGCGAGATAAGTTTTTAAGTTTCTTCTATAATCATCATGGATTAACCGTTTTATTCCAGTCACTGAATCATTTTATTAGACTAGATCCTTAAAATCAAGAAGGATATGGGTAGTCATACTCTCTTAAAAGTCACTTCGGTGGTATCGTGTAAGACGGGTCGTTACATTCCCTACAATATGGCTGAGCGAAGCAACGGCCAGTTCCTGTGTCATGCTCGTGAACTGGTGCTGCGGCGAGCGGAGGTGAGTCTGCTCTATACAAAGTAGTATGTTATCTAGTTATACCTAATATAAATAACTGTATTTGTACTTATACTATATGGCGCAGGTATCAGAATGCAGATTAACAATTTATAATGTATATTTAATGTATCACAGATAAAATTTAATGAATCATCGCTGAAGTTTTGACGACCTCCGTGGCCGAGTTGTTTATACGCCGGGCTTCGTGGTGTCGCCGACTCGAGTGGTCTCGGGTTTAAATCCCGGTGGGGGCAGATGTTTGTGTGATTAATACAAGCATTTGTACTCCAGTCATGGATGTTTAATATGTATTTCTATATAAATAAACTTTTATATGTACAATATATGTATTCTATCCGTTACTCTAGTATTCCATAACTCAACAACAGCGTAAACTGATTATATGATTTTAAGTTTGACTCTGTGTGCTATGTTTGCTGATTACCACCAGGCGGAACCTGTCCAAGTTTGCCACCCTTTTTAAATAATAATAAAAGCTTGTTTTCCATATCTTATTTAGTTAGTTGACTTCATATCCATATTGACATAATTCCATCTAAAATACCTGACATGACATTATGTTTCAATTGCCTGACGGATTTTTTGAATCGGATCATAAGTTTAGTATGACGAGTTTCTCTGTGCGTCGAAAGATAAAGTTATTCCAATAGTCTCAGCTGTATATCCGCAATAGTTAGAACTCGTGTATGATTGAAGATTGTATGACGTGAACATAAAAAACAGGGAAAAATAGATTTCAACCATTATACTTAACAATTAAAACGTAACACATCAAGACAAAATAAAACCAATGTATTTTTTGGTTTCATAGCCAAAATCCCAATTAGTAAAATAATAAATAAATTAACACAGAATTTCTCACTTCTATTTACTTATCACCTTGACAGCAGTCCCGCCGTATTTTATTTACTTGTATTTTTTGGCATTTATATTAGTTCTATCTATATACACTCATTTTACAAATACTCCATAATCTTCTTTGATCATATCCGCAGCCTTTTCACCTATCATCATGGTGGGAATATTGGTGTTTCCACCAGGAATGGTCGGCATAACCGATGCATCAACAACACGTAAGCCAGCAACACCGTAAACTCTCAATCTTTCGTCAACCACACCATCAGGTCCCATAGCACATGTACCAACAGGATGCTGAAGAATTGAAACAGTATTTCTGATATAGCAGCGCCAGTAATTATCCGTGTTATATGCCAATTTTCGACATGGTTTCACGTTCAATTTTTCCAGTTTCCCTTTGACACTCTTATAGTAAGATGTGTTCACTAACCTTTGCATAAAATTCAATCCTTCAATGAAATCATCGACGTCATTTTCATTTCTAAAATATCCACCGATCACAACAGGGTCGTCCAAAGGATTTTGGCTTTTTAATTTAACTTCGCCTCTAGATTTTGGATGTAAAAGTACTAGGAACGTCCAGTCTATAGCATTAAGAATATTTGCTTGAGCGATAGATGAGCAAAAATCTCTCCTCATGTTCAATGTCTCACAAGCAAATTGGAGTACTGGGGCAGCAAGAGCACCGACGTGCGTATTAGAAATTTGAAATTGCCTTCTACCATCGAGTTTATTTATATTAAAGAATCCATTTTGGATCGGTGCTGGTACGGAATCCATTTCGGTAGCAGAAATAACATGCTGCACAGCTGAATCTAAGCCTCTTTTACCAGAAAACACGAGTGGGATTAAAGCATGATCCTGCATATTTTTCCCAACAGGCAATTCAACCAATGTGTCTATACCATGACTTTCTAATTCATTTCTAAGTCCGACACCAGAAAGCATTAAAAGTTTGGGAGTGTCAATACTACCAGCTGATAGAATAACTTCTATTGTAGCATGCACTTTTAATTTTTTTCCGGATTGGGTCACAACTTCAACGCCATAAGCTCTTAGTTCATCCGAATCTATCAAAATTTTTGTTGCTCTAGTGAATTTGGAAACAAACAAATTGTTTCTATCTGGAGTTGATCGTAAATAACTCTCTGCCGTACTTGAGCGTCTTCCGCTATTAAAAGTCCATCTTGGTAGGGCTGCACCTAAGCTATATGGACCGTCCAATTCCACTACTCTTTTCATACCAAGCTCTTCGTAAGAGTTTAAGATATTATTATTGATTTTATCAAAATAATCATTTCTTGCATTACTTGATATTTTAACAGGACCTTCTGTGGAATGGAAAGAAGAATAATCTGGGTTATTCATTACAGATGGGTCTGTAAAATTTTCTAATTTCTTGAAATAGTGAAGGGCTGTCTCGGAGTCCCAGCCCGGCGCTATTTGGTTCCATTCGTCGTAATCTTTGGATTCTCCTCTGGAGTACATCTCAAAGTTCAGAGATGAGCATCCCCCTAGCATCTTGCCACGAATGAGAGGCAATTGTTTGTTGTTGTAGATCCCGCCGACACCATCGTCCAGCTTCACGTTGTATCCCCAATCATACTCCGTGCCCATCAGTGTTACGAATAAGCTGGGGACCTGAAATAATAAAAACGAATTTCTTTAGTGTAACGAAGCAAACAACGGAAGAAACAAATAGGTAGAGGAGCTCGATGGCGTGTTATTATTGTGAATTAGCGTGTTCGGCTGCGATCGTTGAAGAACTTTCGCAATGGTCGGTCATTGGATGGGTGACCTAAAATCTTCTATCTCGAGTTCCTCCGTGCTTTGAAAGGCAAGTTAAGCTGTTGGTCCCGGCTGCATCTGCAGTCGTTAGCACCCGCCAATCTGTACTAGACCCGCGTGGTGGGTCATGGCCCAATCTCCCTATTCCATCCATTGGGAAGGCCTGTGCCCCAGCAGTGGGGACATTAATAGGTTGATGATGAACGAAACAATCCTCTCACTTTTTACTGAAAGAAAGAAAATTTTACTTTACATATTTCTTCCGTAAATAAACCAGAAGTGGTTTCTAGAGATAATACCGGAAATTCTGGCATATAAGAATTTTTAGATTACAAACAAAACCATATCATACTCGCATATTAATAAACAAGGAATAAGCTTAAACTAGCAACATCGTGTTTTGTTCATGTCATTCAATGGACAGAGACCAAACATGAAATAACTTATCTCAGCTTGGTAATCGTAAATTAATAAGGAGATGGAGTACTTTCAGCCTGAATCGGAACTTCCATTTAGGTAAGTAACCAATAACTTAAGAACGCCGTAGTAAAATAAGATTCCCCCTGGTGGTCTTGTGTTACTATAGATAAGAAAGATTTTTAAAGCTCTACGGGGTTAATTATGGGGTAATGATGAAAAAAGAACGAGTGATATAAACGACATTATTGCCAGCGTCTTTTGGATATGAAGGCGGCTTTCCATCAATCGAGTCATATTATGCTTGTTTCCCACCCCTTTTTACATCATTATCAGCTTATTAATGTCCCCACTGCTGGGCCAAAGGCCTGCCATATGGATGAAATAGGTTTATTGCGCCATGACCCACCACGCCAATTTGCACTTGAATTTGACAACACATACAACAATCGTAATTGTGTCGAATTGTAGTAAATTAAAGATAATGTAAGCATTATATCGCCGTATCATGGTTGTCTGAATACACTCAAATTTATTTTATAAAGTACCTGTATTCCTCGAAGAAACCGGATCGGTTTACTGTGAATAATTAGCCTAAAACTGAACCAAACTCATCATTTAAAGTGAATTCATTTATGTGGTTTGTTTTTCCTTTTTTTTTATTGTTAAATAAATAGTATAATAGTTATAGGTGTTATCCTATAACTTATATACATGTACGTTCTAGAAGCTCAGCAAAGAGACTGTTCGACATCTAAAAGACGTTTACAACATTTATAAAAATTGATGTGCATTTTGCTGTTTGTCGCATATGACCTTTACAGCGTCACCGGGCTTGGGGATGGCGAGATCCTAAGGGGAACTCAAGCCGAGATTTGGCGAGTGCCTCTAGAAGTATTCCAGGGGGACGGCATCTCCCCACGGGGAGAGTCTCCTCTCCATCTGAAGCCTCTAGACCACTCGAACCTGAGGGGGTCGGCTCAACTAGAGGGCGTCTCTGAGACTCGGACCTCAGCTCTAGTTAGCCGTTGTAGTGGGGTGCGGGGACAACGCCAAGGTACGTACCTGTACCTGGTATATCCTGCCGTGTGTTGACCGAGTCTTCGCACTCTTATCCTACAGGTGCGGTCTCTGCCTAATGCTAAGCTAGTGTGCAAGTATGCTAGCTGTGTAGTGTTGGTGTTTGTGGCCTGTGTGGGAGGAGTCGAAGGCGCGACGGAGATAATATATACAGGGCGTCGCACGGCTACCTCACACGAAGGGAAAGTATATTAAATATTGAAGATAGGATATTTTTCTGAAAGAAGACATCATTTTATTTTGAATAATAACTAGAACTGCATTTACAGATTTTTTTTAAATCGCCTGCTATAACTGGGAATCAAACTTGTAAGATTTCGAAAAAAAACAACATATTTTATTATAACCATCGAAAGGGTTAATCATAAGGATTATTTTTTGCTAAACAACATAGCCTTTTAAATGGAAGGATTGTCTTATTACGTGATAAAAATAATAAAGTGATATACAAACTGTAGTACGTATGCTTTCTTTTTGAACTCACAGTTACAATGCGATTGGCTGAAATTTATAAAAATAATAATTCCAAAATGGAACAGATAAATTTTCCAGCGTCTTTTTTTGTTTTTGTGCAGTTTTTTTGTTAATTTACTTATATATCGTATCAAAATAAAATGTATTTAATGGAAGCTTACTTTATGAACCACAAAGACATATTAGCTTTACGGTAGTACCTGATAGAGACGTACCTTCTCGATATGTGTTTAAAAGGTTAGTAGATACTTTAAGAAAGTTAGGACGTTTTGGTATGCGCTTACAGTACCCCTAGCACGAACCATTATCGAATTCGAATAGTTTGCAAACCGAAATGTTAATGTCAAATTTTGAATGGAAACTTGCGGCACAAAGTACGTAAACAGAACTAAAAATCAATACACATTTGGCAATGACATTTCGGACTCGATTTCGATTCGAATTCGATATTGGTTCGTGCTAAGGGTACAGATACCACAGCAGCAGATGATAAACGTCTACGATGATGAACTCAACATTTTAACTTACTTTGAGGCGTATGCGATTTTATATTAGTTTGTGTTAAATAATTTGAAATAAGATGTTAAATTTAATTACTTTTCTTTCATTTAAAATGCTATGTTATTTAGCAAAAAATAATCCTCATGATTAACCCTTTCGATGGTTATTATAAAATATGTTTTTTTTTTTTTCGAAATCTCACAAGTTTGATTCCCAGTTATAGCAGGCGATTTTAAAAAAATCTGTGAATGCAGTTCTAGTTATTATTAAAAATAAAATGATGTCTTCTTTCAGTAAAATATCCTATATTTAATATACTTTCCCCCCGTGTGAGGTAGTCGTGGGACGCCCTGTATATAGGTGGGTGAAGCAAACACTCGCGTAGGTCATTATATATGCAAGTTTTGTAAATTATCAACTTATGCCTAAGTGACATCTACTACGCTTCCCTATGAGGTGGAATAGCCTGCCACGAGTGAATGCTGCGCGATCGCGAACTATCATGGTACTTGACCCGGTCAAATAATTGTATGCTTGGAAGAGAACGCGTGGAAGGCGGTGTCGTGCTAAAGAGGATCGCGACGCTTTTTCCGGATTAATCTCGATACGCCATCTACGGAACCAATCGCCAAGGGTGGTAGCGGCTGATTAAAATCTATTATAGATTATTCCGAGACGTCTATCGGAGGTGTAATAAATTGGTGTGCACACAAACTTCTTTTCTGAAATTTAGAAGAGCTGCGCACGCATCCCGCACTCGCACACATATATATATCAAACCTACCGGCCCACCAAATATTTATATAATCCTCATTTCCGTAATTTTTCATACACCCCGAACAAAAAGAAGTTAACTTCAAAAAGTAATAACTCAAACAATACAGTAAACACCTACACCAAATAATTTTAAATCCCATTGATATTTTTTTTTTATTTTATGGGAAGGTCCGACAAATGACTCCGCCCCACCTGATGTTAAGTTATGGTGAAGTCCAGACGGGAAGATAACTGGTACAACAGTTCTACCTGCCAGACCAGCCATCCTCACCTTGCCGACCTGCATGATGCTTCTTCACGCCTCTTTTAAAGGATCCCAAGTTGTAAGAAGGCAGAGCATTCCATTAACGGATAGTGCGTCAAAGAAATGAGTTATAAGATATACGTTATTTATAGTACACAAACTGCGATTTCGTCTGCATGGAAGTATTAGTTCACCATACAAACTTTGAATCCCCGTTTCCTAAGCCTTCACCTTCATCATAATAACTACATGTGTGCCAAATAATGTCAGCTTTTAAATTTTTAACGCCTTCATATAATTAATACGATGATTATAACGCATATTTTTATTCAAAGGCCTTCGTTGTGGTCATAGCAAGGTTTGCCTCTGACGCAAACGAATAAAATTATTGATTTTTGACTAAAGCGGGTTTTTGGAACTTCTCATTTGATTAATTCTTGGTTGACAATTTGTTGTTGCAACGGGACTAGTCCTAAGGTAGTTGCACCAATGACAGATAGAGCGATATACCATAATAAGTGATCAGTTACCTACTCTTACTTTCATTGATCAAAGAAAAAAAATTCGATCTTTGGTTCTTCTCGGTCATTGGTGCCACTCACCTTACGTTTTGTCTGCTGTAGAGTTCAAAATTTGATTCTCGGAAGAGGCGTGTATTTTTGTGAGATGAGCACAGCATTTCATTTATTCGTATTTCTGACAAATGCCAAATATCTAACACTGGCTGCTTTGACAGAAATAACGACATTTTGCCGTATAATGGCGTAATACATATCAAACTAATGTCTAAAATGGCAGTTACCAAAATCGGAAGTGAGACTGTATTTTACAAAGTCGCCCTACAGATCATTGTTCGAGAATAATCGATGTTTGGTGGGCCAGTACATTTTTATTACTACGTTTTCTTTGCATTATTAAGTTTCTATAGTACTAAACTCTGCTAAGATTGTTTATAAATACTTTATTTTCGTGAGTTGCTCTGAATTTACAATTACTACAGTTACAGTTTTTAAGGTTCTGTGCTGTCAAAAGAAATCTTATGACTAAACCACCGGTTTGTTCGTCAGCAAGTTGTATTATCTTAACTTAGATAGATAAATGCAGACATCAAATGTCTACCTATCCGAATTATTTGAAGTAATTTTCCGATTTACAAAATTAAGTTCAACAACAATCAGTTAAGGTCATGTATTATAAAACTAATGTATGTCTGTCTATCTGTTTGTCTCCTCTTCACGGCAAAACTGATCAACCGATTTAAATGAAATTTGGTAGAGCTTAAGTACCAGGAAAGGCATATGATATTTTTTATCTCCAAAATCATCTTTTAAGAGGGTGAAAAGGACGGTAGAAGTTGGTGTCTAAGCCCACTCTTTTCATCCTCTTAAAAGATAATTTAGGATTAGGATTAGGATCCTATATCCTTTCCTTAGATTCGAAGAAATTGGTGTCCCACATCAATTGCCACTACCCTTTTCACCCTCTCAAACGGTGATTTAGGAGATAAAAATAATCCTATAATGTCCTTCCTTGGGACTCACAGAAATTGGTGTCCCACACCAATTTCCACTACCCTTTCACCCTTTCCAAAGGTGATTTAGGCGATAAAAATGATCCTATGTCCTTTCCTGGGACTCAAAGAAATTGGTGTCCCACACCAATTTCCACTACCCTTTCACCCTCTCAAAAGATGATTTAGACGATAAAAATGATCCTATGTCCTTTCCTTGGACTCAAAGATACTGGTGTCCCACACCAATTTCTCCACGCAAACGAAATCGCGAACACCCGCTAGTAATAAAGTATTCAATTTGCACCCACCACGCTGGCCAGGGGTGGGTCTCCGCCAGCCTCGATGAGCAGCACCCTGTGGTAAGGCACCTCGCTGAGCCGGGACGCCACCACGGCCCCTGCAGACCCCGCACCGACCACCACGAAGTCAAATATCTCATCGTCTGGGGAAAAGCAAAATGTTAATAAACAATAATCACAAATAATGTTGCCAGGTCCGATTTATTTTAAATCGGTGCCTGAGGTAATCGGGATTTAGGGTTGCAGATCGGGACAGTAACCAAAGAACAAGGGGATTTTTAAGTCTGAGTTTAATGAATTGCGTTTATTTTTTAACTTTTTCACTGTTTGATGACGTTTAGCGTCCCGATCAGGTACAAATTGGGACGCGTCCCCAGATCCCTGAAAATCGGGACGTCCCGCGCAATTCGGGACACCTGGCAACACTAATCACAAGTCAAAAGAAGTTTCACCCAACTGAAATGAAACTTCTTTTCATAAATAACCTAACGTAAGGCGGTGCATAAAGCATAGGGGAATGGAACAGTATACATGTATAAGTATATAGTAGGTATATATATTGTCGCGTGTGACGCTCATAGCGTCTCAGCTTTCGCCGAGTACCCTCCAACATTCATGCTCGTCGGGAAGAGCTGCGCTCGCATCCCACACACACACACACACTTATATATATTATGTCAGTCGTGTGACGCTCGTGACGCATTTTCGTTTCATCTTTTTTCATATAATTTTTCTATTCGCAATACCTTTGAAAAAAAGTTTCAGTAAAAAAATGTTATCTGTTATTTAATGACTATTATCTGATTATTTACATCGAAAAATAACCAGAGAGCTAATTTTTATTTTAAAATAAAAATTTATGTTTTTGTAGAGGGCTGCGGGACTACTGCTTTTAATAAGCAAAAGACTGGAGGGCTCAGCAGAAGGATATCACAGTCAGTCACTCAGTGTTTGACACACATTTTAGAGCAACGACGTATTTTGTGAGTCTTGAGCGATAAAATGCCGGTAAATTGAAGCGAAGTCGATGTTTTTCTAACAAAATCAATTTACATATAAAACCACACAGTGAATTAAAGTAAACTTTTACACGAAATTAGATAACGCACTTGTCATCTTTTTGCTATTTTTAATACCAACTAATTTCACTTACCCTTCAAATGGTAATTAGGGGGCCACCCGGCAGGTTTAATTGCATGGCTCAAAGCCAATATCCTTAATATCCATTGAACTACGGTCGACGAGCTGTAGGTTTCAACTGCCTTAAAAAATTTCATCAAAAGCACATTTAAAAGTATCATTATGTTTTAGTTGACACAACTCAAACAGCGCCGTTACACAGCGAACACTTATTAATGACTGTTAAAAATACGCTGTCACTTCTAATAAACAACGAAGAACTCTAATTAATTCTATATTAAATTAAATGTTTTCAATGTCTTGAATACTATTAATTAACATAACTATGTTCTGTGTAACTAACGAAACATCGTCGGTGTGGTTTTATCGACTGTTTGTAATGCTCTACTAAAATCAGGGCCGGATTCCGTAACTCTGGGCGCGCTTAGGAGCGTCTCTAGAATACAAATTGGATTCAACAATTTGATTGAATATAAAAACTCAGAAAAATAAAGTGTTACAACGATCAATCCGAAGCCTTAGAACACTCCCATGAAAAATGAAGTGATACATAAAATATTAAATAAAGTGTAACACCTTTAATGTAACCTACTACATATTCTGATTCCCATCATCCTTCTCCATATTCCCATAAACATTTCTACTTGCTACCATCACAGTAATTTTATATTTTAGAGGCAAGATGCAATAGTTGTGACCAAAAATTTAAAAGAAAATATTACTTACATAATTTTTCTAGGTAAGTGGTTAGAACAATTGAGGAGTGGCGTCTTTTGTTTATTTTCAGAATGTTTGTAAGTAATTTGAAATTTTGAGGGTACTTTTTTGTACCCTCAAAATAAATAAATAAAAAAAACGTGTGGCAGTCGGGGACTGCCGCGGTAAAACTATTGCATTGCATTTTTATCAACTTATGCATTTATAATTATTTATTTATTTGTTCAATTAGTCACGGGCTCGAACTCACTCGTGCACGCGGCCAAAAAGCACGCTGTCTTTTACTTTTACATTATAAAGAAATTATTAAAGAAACTTTGATAAAAGTACTCATTTCGAAACTATGTGTACTTCCAATATAATTTTTTACGGTACATATTATATAAGAGTTGATTAAATTTTTTTTCACTATATTGATATTATGAGTTCTTTTACACCTTAATAAAGGGTGTTATTTCTATACTATTGATGATGTATCTATTCCCCCTTTTTTAAGGACATTTCTGCAGTATGTCCTTGGTGGGCGGCATGTATAAGATTCATAACTACAGCAATATACAAATGTTAATATAGAAATAATAGAAATGTAAAACGATAAAAATAAATAAAAAAAAACTAAAATATTACATTAATTTCTAACACCTCTCATAAATGGCGTTGATGTATTGAGAATTGCGATATGGTTTTGTTTCAGATAATATTAGTTAACAACGCCTGTCATAGATGGCGCTAAGTTATTGTGAATTGCGGTATGGTTTTATTTTGATGTTTATATAAGTATGTTTTAAACCTTGTCATAAGGTTTCTGTTGCCGGTTGGTTGCTATAACGACGATGTTATGTTAGACGTGCCAGTAGGAGTGGGGGTCAGGTTATTTTCGGTACGGAATTTCTTGATTCGGTCGCCGCGCTCAAAGACCGCGATAAAAGCTATACAATAGCTTAATAATTACACGCACATAAATAATATAAGCAAATATTTGTCGACCAAATTAGCGAATTTCATTCCCGAAGGGTTTATATATTTAATTGAAATATTAAATATATAAATTTTCAATATATATTTAATTGAGCTCGAAGGAGTCGATACATATCCAGCAAACATATGACCAAATGTGTGAGAAGAGTCTTCAAAAAGTAGATCACTTCTTTGAACTAATGTCTGGCGCCGGATTCGATAATTATCTCGCCGTAGAGATCTTGACCGGTCAATTATCAAATTGGCCGAAAGATCATAACGATCTTTTTGGACTCTAGATCACGATTTCAACACAAAATCTTTAAAAAAATCAGTCCTATTCTGTGTAAGAAACAAACTTTTTCATATTGTTTTCAAAGCAACCAAAGCCCGTGGTCCACTTACTTGACTTGCTTGCCTGAACAAACTTTTCTGCTTCCTACACGTCGAATGCATTCACTAGGTAATTCCAAATACCAACTGTGTATCATTTACCCATTACACTCTACATATATGTGTATGAACTTGCCCCACCCTAGGCCATCGGATATATATCGCGGATCTCATGCAGCAGGGGCATAAACACAACACAACTTTACAGGACGAACAAAAATCTCTATATTTTTTGTTCTCAGTTATGACATTGAAGTATTTTTATAATTATATATATGTCAAAGGGTGCACAAAGAAAGGATTTTTAAAAATTTCATCCTCGAAGGGTTTAAAATAGAGAGTGAAAGTATATATGAAAAAATCCTATTCCTTCAGTTAATTGACTTGACTTGACACGATTACTTATCTAAATAAATTGTAAATTTTTGATATTTATAGTTTTCCTAAACTACCCCCTTGCCCCCCTCCCCTAGGCCATCAACTTGACTTACATTATAATATTTGGTACCTAATTTTGGGAAGATACGAGCGTTAAAAAAAATTTCTTCATGTGCTCCAAAAAAATTAGTACAACATCACGATCAAAATCGTGACTGAAACCATCCTAAAGGTAAAAAGGATTATTTTCTTTTTACATTTATTAGCACTCTTGAATAGGCACTGGTCTATTGTCCAAGGAATTTGCCAGCATTCAAACGCAGCCTGGGCAGTGGCGGCTTTACTTATGAAGCAGATTCAATTCAATTCAAAATCGTTTATTCAATCTAGGCTGTTACAAGCACTTATGAATGTCGAAAAGCTACGCCATCGGTTCGCGAATCCACGCGGACCAAAAAAAAAATCCACGCGGACCAGGCAGCAGACGGGACTCGAACCCGCACCCTTCGCAATCCGGGCGAATGCACTGACCAACAATGCGAAGAGATGGCGCTGCCATGCAGCTTAAGGATAGGAAAATTTCGACGCGGCCATCAGGGCCGCGGTAGCATAATTGTTCAGTGCATTCTTCACCCGGATTGCGAAGGACGCGGGTTCGAGTCCCGTCTGCTACCTGGTCCGCGTGGATTTTTTTCTCTTAAAACTTTTCTTTAGATTTAAACATCTAGCAGTTAAACGCTTAAAAAATAAAAATATAGCTATAAATGCTATTTCTTCTTTCAAATGTTTAATACTTGAAAAAATATTCATTTGACATTGTGGGTTACCTACAATGCGAAGAGATGGCGCTGCCTTGCAGCTTAAGATAGGAAAATTTCGACGCGGCCATCAGGGCCGCGGTAGCATAATTGGTCAATGCATTCGCCCGGATTGCGAAGGGTGCGGGTTCGAGTCCCGTCTGCTGCCTGGTCCGCGTGGATTTTTTTCTATTAAAACTTTTCTTTAGATTTAAACATCTAGCATTTAAATGCTTAAAAAATAAAAACATAATTATTAACCATTTAAAACATATTTTCAAAAAGTGTCAACTAGCCAGCCTATTTGATAACAGTGTATTCTTGTCATTCTTTATACAGAATGAAAAGGAGAGACTGATGATAAATGACTGATAAATTTAGTGCTAAGTTTAGAGTATAGCAGCGTCTGTGTCTGATGGTAAATGCTGCCAATGTAGCGTCTTCTCCATGAATTCTTTGTTCTATCTCCTTTTTTTAAATAAATTGTATAACAAAATACTCGTTTTAACGAACTAACTTCTCTCAAAAAAAATACGTAGATCTACGAACTTTTCATATGCAAATTTTACTAATTCTACGTAATTTTGTCATCGGGCCTACGCCTTTTTCAAAATCCGAGTTGGCAACACTGGTTCAATGTACCTTTTGGACAGATTTCGGGCTGGTTTTTTTCGTGTTGGTGTGTCTAGTATTTAATATCGTTGACGATAGCGCAATAAAAAATATTGTATTCTACCACATAAATGATAGGACTTTTATACTGATAATTAAAGCAATTCGTGCAAAATTATTCCCTAACCATTCCAAAATATCAGAAATGCACAACGTTAATGTTCAAGTTTTCACTTCTGCCGGCACTCCCGGAGTGCAACCCGTCGTTTTTTTTAACTAGAATAAATATTGAACCAGATTGAACTGAACATCGTATCGATCAAGACACAAAATATTTTTTTTATATTTTCGTAACTCCAACATCCATTCAAATGTTAATACAATATTAAATTATAAACAATAGCTACAATTAATGAATTCAACTATTATTATTAATGTCATAAAAAAAACAACATCTATACATATAATAAAATGGTAGGAAAGTCAAAACTGTACATTGAATATTTTTTTTAAATAATACTTGGTGTGTGATCTACGATCGATACCGAAGCCAAAAATATATTTTTTAGAATTTTTGTCTGTTTGTCTGTATGTATGTCCGGGATAAACTCAAAAAGTACTGCATTTTCTTAAACTTACTAATTATTCAAGGCTACATATTATCACGCTATCACCTACAGGGAATGAGCAGTCAACCTTTATTTCTTCAACGCATTTTGTAACAACGTGTAATCTAACGACGCTTAATTGAATGTTGTTATTATGTTAACCATTGAACGCATGCTGAACACCTGTCCCAGTTCACTTCAAGACGTGGTCATTTCTATCGGCGGCAGTTCCACTGGTCAAATATGGGTTACCAGCTCCCCAATCATCACCGCATCAAGACCGTGGAAATCGGGAGTATAACGCTGAGGCAATTTACCATCCGGGTGAAATGACCACCATACTAAATGACCATGTCGCTTTGTTCTCTTCAGAGCAAAAACAAATTTATGACACCGTCCTTGAAAGCGTTGGGCAAAACCAGGGTAAAATGTTTTTCTTAGATGCTCCTGGTGGAACAAGAAAAACATTTGGCATAATTGCAGAGGTCAGGAGGCAAGGCAAAATTGCCATTGCTGTAGCGTCGTTGGGAATCGCTGCCACACTACTTCCGGGTGGCAAAACAGCATATTTATGTTTGTTTAGAGAGCGCTTCAGCGTCTGTTTGTGGTGTGTCACGTAACAGTGATAAAGGACATGTGCTCAAGGATTGCTCTCTGATCGTATGGGATGAGTGTACGATAGCCAATGGACAGACAGTTGAGGCCGTGGACAGAACCCTGCAGGACATCCGCAGGAACGATCATTTGATGGGTGGTGTCACAGTTCTGTTCAGTGGAGATTTCCGATAAACGCATCCCGTGGTGACGTGGGGATCGAGGGCTGGCGAGACGGACTAATTGCTTCGTTAAAACGATCTTAATTGTAGTCACGAGTTTGTACGCTGTGCTTGACCATTAATATAAGAGCTCGGCTCGGCG